TCTCTCTCTCTCTCTCTCTCTCCCCCTCTCTCTCTCTCTTGCCCTTTTTAACTCCCAGTGGAGCATAGGCCATCAACAACATTTCTCGAGCGAAGCCTGTCTTGTGCATCCTTTTCTAGCTGTTTCCTCCATCTTCCAGAAATGGCGGCCATGTTGTTTTTGCTGTTAATTTTTTTGTAGCTGCCTTTTGTTTTACGGGAACGGGCTGCTAACCCTTCGCCCAACCGACCTTAGTCGCCTTCTACGACATGCGCGGTACGGATACAGTGGTCCTATTCCTTGCTCCCCTGTCTCTTGGACATGGCCCCGAGAACCACATGGCTTAGAGATTGCACACACTTTTGGAAATTTCAGAAAGACCACGCTACAGCACTTGTTCATTTTATGGTTTCTGTTACTGTTACTCATGACACGGATGCAGTGTGCTTATGGATTGAAAATAGTGAAATAGATTCATCGCCCCTATTAACACGTTATTTACGAGGCGGGACCTCCGAGTTTATAACGTCTATCTCCGAAAGGACCGAGCCAAGTGTGACATTCGTAAGAAGTGCGTTTCCTACGGACACAACGTCGGACCGAGCTGAGGCTCGAATCCCCGAACCCGCAATCTCTCATTTACGAGTCCAGTGGCTTGACCATAAGGCTAACGACGCCATGGCTTTATGGCTTGAAGGAGTGCCAGCAAAGGGAACGCGTCAGACATTGAGCAGTGAAGGGGGAGTGCCTTAACAAAACGCCTACATTCAGAGACTAGAAACGTGACTTCTGCAATTAGTAGATCATTTTGTTGTTGGTTGGCAGGTGCTCCGGTGTGGTTTGCTCCTTCTTTTCTGTCAAACATCTATCGTCCTTTTCTCGCCTCATCCTTTTCTTTGAATGTTACTATGTTGTAGTTGTAACACCTAATTAATCTTCGGCACTTCTTGACCGTATTGTGTTGAACGAGCCGTAAAACATTTACAAAAACTAACAGTAGATTATTTTGGTAGTTGACCTGAGTGGCATCAGTATCAGGGGCGTCGACATTGGGTTATGTTTTTTGGGAAGGGGGGGGCGAACAAAAGTATCACGAATTTACAAATATGTTTCTAGAAACAAACGTTTGTTGTGGTGGAGATGCATTGATTGCCAGTAACACCTACCCCTTTCACTCTCTTTCTCTTTCTCTCTTTCTCTCATTTCAGTCTTTCTCTCTCTCTCTCTCTCT